TTCGGCCGCGCCGGGAGCTGTTTTGGTAGGCGGCGTGGCGAGGGGCAGAGCCGAGGGCGCCCCGCGGGGACTGGAGGGGGTTGCGCGGCGGGGCCGCTCCCGGCCGGGTAGAGGCGGATGGTCCACGGAGGATTTCCTCGGTGTAAAATAATAGTAAGAGCGGAGGCACAGGTCGGCTGGCGATGCGTCTTTCAAAGGGAGGGTTTTCCCATTCCTGCCCGCCTCTGCTCTCCAGACCACACAGTTTATGCCGGGCACATCAGCTCCTACATATACCACCAGATGCACACATCTACAGATACAATTCCTATATAAACGCACACAGGTAGAGTAAATGCTCCGCATCGGTCGTCCACTTGTTAGGGGATTTTTCTTCCCCTGCTGTGAGCGAACGCAGATAGAGGTGCGGGGGACGGGGCCATTCGTGCACTCCATTTCTCAGCAGCAACAGTGCGTTACTGAAGTAACTCGCAGGTTAAGAGCAAAAGCCGAGAGCAGTAAGGTGCTCAAGAAAAAGACAATATTTTTAAGAGCTTCTCTGAATAAGAGCAGTACCGAAAACAAAAAGTTTACGGAACAAAAACACCGAAAGAAACTCCGAAAAAGCCACGTCCTAGAGTCACTGTATTAGGTCAGTGACACACTGAAATTAACTCAGCCACTTCAGCAACACCTTTGATACGAAGCAAAAAGTCTGCTCCCTCCAAGATCCCAGGTGTATAAGTTTGTCGCCTTCTAGCATGTTATTACTTGCCTAAATTTACTTGATAGAGAAGGACACTCGTGAAACCCATCAGAACAGATGGAAGTGAAGATTTCACACGTTGCTTAGGTTTCTAAGCATTGCAACTATCTTTTTTTTTTTATTTTTAAAAAGGAAAGAAAAATAGAAAGAAACCACAGAACACCAACACAAACCCAACCAAAAAAAGCCCATCTAAAAAAAAAAAAAAACAACCTCGTGTGTACATGCGCTTTATTCTTTCCCTGTGTACTTTAAGGAGCGCTACTCAGAATGATACAGGGAGTTCACATCGAATGAATGAAATAAGTCCCATACGTTCTCTAAAATCAGCTGTATAAATCCATTGCCATAGAAGCACAACCTACAAACTAATTTAAAATTACTCGGAAAGTCCAGCTGTGTTTAACGAATAGAAATATATTTCAGAATACAGTAAACATTCACTTTTAGTTGTTAGCGTGAGAAATGGAGCCAGCCAGTAAAACTAGACCTAAGTATCCTTAATCACTTGGTGAATATTGTTAGAATATACATTTTAAACTTTTTTTTTTTTCCCATTTCCATACGCCAGCTCAGGACAGCGGATTCACATCGTCTTTGGCAGGTAGTGCGAGTGCACTCGGCCATTTGGAAATGCTTTTTGCTCCTTTACGTCTGTGTCATTGTAAAAGAAAAAAGAAAAAACGAAAAGAAAAGAAAATACCGATTTCCCTCTCCGCCCTCCCCCCAACAAAAACCTTTACGTGGAAGATTAAATGTCACAGTTAACCTTTTCGTCTCTAGGTTTCTCAAGAATTTTTCTGCAGAAGTTGTTTAAAGCGTCAAAACGAATTTCAGTTTCTTTTAGCATCAATACATCCTATTCACCGTTTTATTTATATAGCTGACCGGAAGCCTTCGAGAGAAAGACATAGGATAAAGAAAACTTTGACCTTACCTGCTCCCTATGTGCTCGCAGCCAGAAAAAAAAAAAAAAAAAAAAAAAGAAGGGGGTGTGGGGGGAAGTCATTTCGTATTATTCACCACTTTGCCAGAGACAGTAGCCTCTCTACCTCATAGGTACAGCCGTACTGGGTCAGGTCTCTGTACACACTGGATACATACAAACAGTATTACCATTTACTTAGGGTTTGGAGGGTTTTCCGCCCCTGAAGGGGCTCATGAGAGAATAGCGGGTCAGACAGCGGGGAAAAAAAAAAAAAAAAAATAGAAAAAAAGGCGAATTTTTCTCAGCTTTGCTCCCGACACGGCCATGAAAGGACTGAAATTCTTCAGAAGTCACTCGGTCTTTACCTCTAGGTCCCCTTTGTAAAAGCAGCCGCCACAAGTTGGACCGGGTCTGCTTCCCAGTGAGGCTCCTCTACCTGCGCTCCGCCACGAAACTCCTAAATTTATTTTTTTTTTTCCCTCTGTTTTTCTCCCCCCTCCCTGTGGCAACTTCTCTTGGTGTCATCTCAGAGCTGTCTCCGATTACACTGTTTGGGATCTGCACTTTGAGCACTATCTTAGGGCCCTACACTGCTTTTTGAACGGAGATGCAGGCAATATAGGTGTAGATCAGCTCCCCATCTCTGTGTGTCCCCCCCCCCCCCCTTTCCGCAGGAGTGGTCCCAGCTCCCCTCTGCTCCATCAACAGCAGGTACAGGCCCCAGCTGCGCAGCCTCCCCCGAGGCTTTCCTTCCAGTATCCCTGATGCTACCAGGCTACTGTGACAAAATGAAAAACTAACCCAAACCCACCCCACAACCCGTTTTGTTATGAAACAGCAAATATGAAGAAGTCTTTTGCCATTGTTGCTGTTGTGGTGGTGGTAGTGGCGATAGGGTTTTATTGGGTTTTGGGTTTTGTTTTTTGGTTGGTTGTTTTTTTTTTTTTGCACAGCTTGCTGTGCCACTGCACGCACACTTCATGGCACTCAAGCATGAACTCCTATTTACAGCAGGGAATAAATGCCCTCCGCGTTTCTCCTACGTTTGGAGGCAGTGCCAGGGAGTGGGGAAGCAGGAGGGCATAGCCATCCTGCACCAGATCCCTTCTCTCCAAAGACGGGCTGCTCACCGTCCCACGTCGATAAAGCAGTTGTTATACGGAGAAACTTGCATTTCTTCCATCATTTCAGATTTGAAACATGCTGCCCCTCCCCTTCGCCATCCCATTATCCAAGTTCTGCATTGATTACCAGGAGACTGAAAATCAGCGTATTGGAAGAAGCAGGAGTTTAAACGGAGGCGTATACTCTAATTTAGACAAGCTGTACAGTGACTAAATTCTTGTGAGTGTTCTCAAGGGACACCGGAGATTAAAATGTATTTACACCCCATCCACCCCCGAAATATCGTAATCCCAAGCAAGGCATAACTGTTTTATACAAAGAATTTTATGATAAAAGGCAACAACACAATGTCATAAAAAAAAACTATAAAATTGTTAAAGAGCAGTTGTTTGCATTTCTCCTGATTGATATGTAAATACAGTTTGAACTGTGTTTGCTCGGTCTCTAGTGCTTAATAAAGAGATGAATTCACCTTTCTGTGGAACAAGTAAACAGACTTTAAACTAAGCCGACATCAGACAAAGTGGAAACGAGTTTATTTAATCGAAACTAAATCTAGTTTAAGAAAGATAAGTCAGTGTACATAATAATCCATTACAGTAATTACACCCACCACCAAATATGTGTTTATGAGGTTGTCAAGACACAATAAAATTCATTTATTTCCCTCGAAGTCTATAATGAAAAGTCACTGGCTGGCTCTCTATCGAACATGCTAACTCCAATATTGCGGGGGAGGAGGGAGATACTATTTCTCGGCTCTATTAATGCCTTTCAGTGCTCCTCACTTTTGAAAGTTCCTGTATTTGGAAGGATACGAACGTTAATTACATCTGAAGGGGAAACGTCGACTTAACCACAGCACTTTCCCCTCCGTCTTGTACATTAACTCCGAGAGAAACTAACCTTCACTTAAAAAATCCGTAGACTTAAGCCTGCCCTCGCTCCCTCAATGGGAGCTGCAGCGCTGAACCACGGACATTCCCAACACTTCCTTTATTTAGCAGAAATAACAGCACTAAGCTCTAGATGCCTCCCGCCATCCTTCACATGGTGCCATAGATCTGAAACGAGTATTTTGCGTAGAGAAAGAAAGCAAAATAAATCAAGGCATATCCTTTAAGTTAGTTGGGAATGTCGCTGTATAAAGCATGACATAGTATAAAGAATGAAAGGTCTCGAAATTCCTGTTGACACACGTGATGTTCTCCAGTTAGAAATAAAGGGGGGGGGGGGGGGGCAGAAAGAATCCGATAATATTTTTTTTTTTTCCTTTTTCTCCATCCAGACTAGCACTTGGTGTCCGAGTATCACAGCTATCTTAGATAAATGAAAGACTGGAGCTTTCGAAATCTGCTACTTAAACTGGAGGTTGGGATGTTTCAATCCCGGACAAGCTACTTGCTTTCTCTTCAAATATACGAGCATTTCATAATACCTCTGTAATTCAGGGGTTTTTCAATGACCGCGATATGCTTCCTTGGTTTAACTGACGGGGTCTGAGTCGGGGGAGGAGGGGGGAAACAAAACCAAACCAAAACCAAAACCAACCAAACCAAAAACAAATAAAAAAAAACCCAACCAAAACAATAAATATATGCATATGTATATAAAAAAAATAAAAGAGCAGCAGACGCGAAGGAGAACACGCTACGAAGTCCCTTTTAGGATGGGGGACTTCTTATTCTGTTACACTCATGAAAGGGATATTTGGGACCCGAAAGACAGCGAACTAAGCGTATTTCGAGCTTGTCCGATACGAAGTGCTTAACTTGATAAGCTTTATGTATTTATAGCAAAGTTAAAATCTAACTGCCCCGCATTGCTCACAATATTCACCTTCCTACCAACCGCCCCTTGGTGTCTCAGCCGGTCGCGTACCTCGTTCACACGCACACAAACACGCACACGTGCACACACACGCACTTTCTCCTCAACTGCTCCTTCACAATCTTCCCAAATGGCTACACACACAAAAAAAAAGCCCCAAACCCCAAGCAAAGCCGATGTCCATTGGCCTGGGGTGCAGCCTGCAGCTGACCTCTCACCGGGGCAGTGAGGGGGAGATGTGCGGGAGGAGCTGCGTGGTCGTGTGTGTGTGTCTGCGTGCCTGTGTGTCTGGGTGTGCGTGCTTGCAGGGCTGGGTATGTGTAGAAAATTAAATGCAGTCTGATAAAGAAAGTTAATTCAAACTACATGTCGTACGCAATAAACTATCTTTTTATTTTGATTATAAATAAGGTGACTGTACTTCCCTTAAAATACAAGCATATAGGAAAACCTGGTAGAAATTTTTTTTTTTTCTTCTTTTTAACACGGTATTAAAACCGGACGCTCTTTAAATCGGCCGCATGTTCTATACTGTCAGCAGGTTCTTCGTTTATTTGTTTCTAGTGGCGTTAGACTTTTACCTTCTTTCTCCTCCGTGCCTTTGGCATTTGAGTTTCTACTCTTGGAATACTTTGCTTTCTCTAGCAAGGAGTCTCAGAGGTGGCCCTCACCCCTCACCCTCCCAATAATCGGGCTAATGAATTTGGACTCGATCCTTTCGCTCTCGAGTTTGCGAATCCCCCGCATTTGCTGGTCACTTTTGCAGGCTGAGGACTGAGCCTGTATCCTGTTTACTCCCTGTCGCAGCTCCCCTTTGGGACCAAGAGCCAGGCCCCGGTGGGGATGGGGGCCTCTCGGGGTTTGGCAGCATACCCGGGGGTTTCCATCAATCAAAAAAGAAAAAAGGAATGGGCAAAGAAAAAAAAATATGCGGGGGAGGATCAGGAGGGGGAACCAAAGGGAAATAAAAAAAGAATATTCGTAATGTGTATAATTTATTAGAAGCTTCTTAGGAACTATACTTAAGCCAAATATCTACATAAGTTACAACAGGAAAAGGCGGCGTGCGCAAATAACAAACTGCCAGAGGATTTACGACGGGGCGATCAGTGTCCATAAAAAAGGTAGGGGTTGGTTTGGTTGATTGTATTTTTTTTCTTTTTCTTTATACAACAAAATATGCAGGCTACTAAAAACTATGGGTTTAGTCCAACTTTTGACAGCATTATACAGCTACAGGTTCACATCAAACGTAAGGAGGAAAATAAAAGCCAAGCCTTTGATGACTCCACGTCTCCATCCGCTGGCCCTGGCGGCGGGGCTGCCAGGGGAGACCGGGACGGGGGACGGGGGGGGGGGGAAGCTGCTTCTTGTGTCTGGGTGACGCGAATGCGTTTTTCTGGGGGGGGAAACCACCCCATCCCCCCAAATCTCTATATTTACATGCAAGTCCTAGACGCTGGCAAAGGGTACATCTGAAATTCAAGCCTTCGGACCATGCCTAACTATGGTCCCCTTTCTGCAGACTGCTCCGTAGTTATTAGTCAGAATTTTTTTAACACCCCATACAACAATATTGGGGGGGGGAAAAATGAGCACCCAAAACCATCAAGAGTAACAATAAAACCGAACAAAACCCCAAGTCTCTCTCTCTCTCACACTCTTAGAGGTCCTCAGAGAACCACTCAGGAAAGTGAAGGGAGGTGGGGGAGCGTTGAAAAGGGGAGGAAAAAAAAACCCAAACAAAAACAAAACAAACAACAAAAAAAAAGACACCCAGTAGTTTGGACAGGACAGAGATCTGTGTGACTGGGAAAATCTGCCTTTTTTTCCCTTTCTTTTTTTCCCCTTTTTTTTTTTTCTTTTGCTCTGTTTAATCCTTTCACCAGGTCCTACCGTATAGCAAGGTGGAGCAAGACATGGCAGTGCCATAGTCAGAAGTAGAAGAGTTTAGGTGAGACAAACTGGAGACTTGGCTCTGCAGAGAGGACGGGCTGGCCGAGTGCTGTCCCATGTCTGGAGACTGCCCCGCACTGTTTGTCTGGTGGCTCTGATGCTGTCCGAGGCTGTTGCCATTGGTAGCCACCGTGATCGTTGTAGCAGCCTGCTGCTGATGGCTCTGGATAGCTGCTGTGGGTGTGTTGGAGCCTGCTTGGCAGGGCTTGCCATCCTTTACAAGCACTGGCACCGCCACCCTTCTGGGAGACTGCTGCTGCTGGCAGGAGCCGTTCTCCTGTTGCATCTGCTGCTGCGCAGCCTTGTCTTTGGCCTGGCGTTTCATCTTGTAGCGGTGGTTCTGGAACCAGATTTTGACCTGAGTAGGGGTGAGATGTATCATGCTGGCTAAATGTTCCCTCTCCGGGGCGGAGAGGTATTTCTGCTGCTTGAAACGTCTCTCCAGCTCGTAAACCTGGGCCTGGGAAAAAAGGACCCTCCGTTTCCTCCGCGGCGTGCTCTGGAGCGGGGCCATGCTCTTGCTCACGTCTCCCAGAGAGCCGAGGCTGCCCATGCCGCCCATGTTCATGCCCGAGGACGGCGCCATGAAGCGGGAGACTGCAAGGGAGAAGGCGGCACGGTTTAGGCGGCTCGGCTCAGCCCGGCCCGGCACGAGCAGGGCCCCGCGCTCCAGCGGCACCGACCGCCGCTCGCCCCCGAGGGGGACCGCAGCCCCCCGGCAGCCCAGCCCCAGCCGGGTCCTCGGGACGCCCAAGCTCTCAAACAACGACCGGCGTCCCCGGGGAGAACGGCGGGCAACTGGACCCCTCCTCGCCCGACTCAACCCCGGTGAATAAAGGAGACCGCTCGCCCTTCGCCTTGCCCGGGGGATGACACCCGAGCAAGTACAGAGGTGACAGCGGGGAGGAAGCTCCCGGGAACAGGGGCTCCGCTGACGCCTGCCGGGGCAAACTCGCCCGCTCCCCTCCGCGCACTCGGGACGCGGCTCCCACGGCTCCGGCTTCCCTCCTCGCCCGCCCGGTGCCGGACGGCGCGCAGGAGGACGGGCACCGCGGTCTCCCTCCCGGGCCCCGGGTCTGGGCCGCTGCTGCCCCGCTGGACGGCGAGCCCCGAGATCCGTCTCCGCGCCGCTGCGGGGTATCCTGTCCCCTTCCCCGTGCAAAAGCAGCCCCGGGCAGCTGACATGAAACCAGCCGGGGTGAAGGGATCAGGCACAATCCTCGGGCAGAAGGAGGAATTGAGGGGGCAGCGGTGGGTGGGTGGGGGACGGACAAGATTTGGACAGACTTTTGCCCTGGTGCGGAGTTCCCGGCGCCCATCTCCCGCGGTGCTGCGGGGCAGGTGCGCGGCCACCCCCCGGCGCCCACCCAGCCGCGGGCTGACTTACTTGAGGAGAAGCGGGGGTCCGGGTTGGTGCCGTACCATCCTGTCGCCGAAGCGCTGTTCCGCATGGTGTCCTGGTAAGGCGGGAGCTCGCTCATGTTGCCCAGGTTCCCATTGCAGTAGCCCCCCATCGTGGCATGGGAGAGCTGGGGGACCCCTGCCGCTGTCATATGGTAGGCGGCAGTCACTGTTCCGTTGTGGCCCATGGGGTGCTGCTGCATGGCCGGCTGAGAAACCTGAGTCTGTCTGTAGGCTGACAAGGGAGCCCCCAAGTTACTGCCCTCCATGCCCACTTTCTTGTAGCTTTCCTCCAAAGGACTCAAGATGTCAGACACTGAGAAAGGAGTCGTATGCTTTGGGCTCATCGACATGATTCGGCGGCTGGGAAAAAAAAAAAAAAAAAAAAAAAGGAAGGGGAGGCAAATCTTTTTTTTTTTTTTTTTTTTTTTTTTTTGCCAAATATTCTGGTGTTGCCTTAACGCCGATCTTGTTGGATGTACACGTAACCGAGTGGACGAAGTCCGCCTTAATTGGATTGAGTGGAGGCTCAGGGCTGCCTTTCGTTTGTTTTAGCCAGACGCCAGGTTTTAGGCTGCCACCAGAGGCGGGGCATAGGCACTAAAGCAACAAGACAATAGAAGCCTACATCTTGCCCAAGATAATTAGCTTACATGCTGATGACAAGGTAAACACCTTTAAGTTTTCCTTGTCAGGATTTTTTTTTTTTTTTTTTTTTTTATGTCTTAAAAAAGAGAGAGAGAAAGGGAAAAGGAGACAGACCCCGTGAGCACGACTCGCTTTATTTTTCTCGGGGGTGGCAATATCGTGGATGGGAAATGGAAGGCAAGGCAAAATGACCCCCGTTTGGCGGGGTGAAAGGATTTAAAATAAGCTCCCGGGTGGCAAGGCTGACAGCCCAGCCTTTGTGAACACTAGGGAGACGGGGCTGAATGCCGGTGAGCTGCAGGATTGAGTCCCTTTCTCCCCCGTGAAGCCGGGGTGGCGGCAGCCCCGCCGCCGGGCAGGCAGCTCCCAGAGTGCAGCCGTCTAGCCCGGGCCGCGGTCCCAGCGCTCAGCACTCCCCTCCCCGGCTTGTCGGGTCCCCCGGCCGGCTGGTGGCTGAAGAGCTCATGGGATTCAGCATCTCGAGAACCTTTCCTGTATCTGCTAAGACCCCCAGGGCGAGACCCCCAGGGCGAGGATCGCTTGTCTCCCTAAAGCCATCAGTTCTGTTCACCTAGGGATTTTTTAATTTAAACTCATGGAGAGAAGGAAGATGCAAGTTTCCAAAAGCAAGCAGTAAATTAATAGCCTGGGACGTGAGACTGTTGAAAAATAGGTTAGCGCAATATGTTGCTCGTTATTCTCAAAGGCAAAGACTGCCACAGTCTCTCGTGGTCCCTCTGAACCTGAAGCTGCTTTCTAAGGTTATTTATACAGCATGGGAGCTGGATGGAGAAGACCTCTCAGGTCATCTGCTACGCGACCTTGCCAATGAATTCCCTGCAGTTTCGAATAAACTGCAATTTCTGGCACTTTCTGATCTGCTCCCGGATCCAGTGTAGAAACAAAAGCAAGCCCCTTCACAGACGTCGTTGTTTTCCCCCTCCCAACCCCACCCCTCGTAAAGGCAGCGGCTGCTAGTGTCACTCGGGTCTTTGAAGAAAACTCCCAAGTTGTCTAATGTCTCCAAAGCTTCTATTTCGGGGTGTTCCCGAGCAGGGGAGAGAAACCTCCCCTGAGTGTTTCACACCCCGGCTTACGGCCCTGGCAAACCCAATTTAATACAGCAATTACCTGAATTATTAAGAAAATTACAGCGAAAGTACAGTTAACCCAGTGACTTCGAAGTGTCAAGTAACTGTTTAGTAATGGCACTTGTAAATATGTTTGTGCTCGGCTGGTTCGTGCTTAAAAATGCAAAAGTGCACTTGCTACCCGGGAATAACTAAATATCTTTGTCTAAAGTGGCAGCATAAATAGCCGGTCGCTTTGTAACTGTGCTTGATATCAGTACATAAGGATCATTTTGCTTCAATTGGGAGGCTCTCATTCACTAGGCAAGAAACCGTTTAGGAGAAAGTAGGTTCCCGTATGAGAGTTAACATCCTTCAAGTGTAAGCCTCTGCCTTGATTGCACTTTAGAGCTCTGCAAGAGGTGAGCTTTTCCACAAAAATATAATCGGGGGAGCCTTCTTTCAATCAGGCCTCCAGCTTTCCAACATCATCTCAGCCACCTCTTTCGGTACCAGCTTACTCAAGGGTGAACACCCCGAAGTGGGTTCGTTGTGAGTCCGCTAGGTCACTTTGGGCGACTTTGGGCTAGAAAGGCTGCTGCTTTTACCTCTTTCCTGTTTTATTTCCAGATCTTTAGCTCTTGCCTTTCCACATCCTGGAATATTTCTCACCCTCACCCCCGCCCCGCGTCTCATTTTTTCCCCCATTTCTGCGGGTGTTTTTCAAAACCGTCTTTGGGTTTGTTCCTACAGAGAGACATTCGACCTTGCTTTGGTGGTTTGGTGTTATTTTTTCCTGTTCCTTTTCCCCAGGATTTCTCAGGCACATCAGTTCCGTATCTGTTTTATTACCGTTAAAAAGGAGGGTGTGAATGGAGGGGGGGGGGGGGGGGAAAACCACAAGATCCACCAAAATTGCACTGTTGTCGGCTCAGAGGCGAACGACAGCAACTGACCGCGCAATATGTGGGGCAGCGACTCCGTTTCTCCCCCGAGAGTGCGAGGTGGGGAGACCCCAGAGGCTGTTCTGGAGGCGAAGAGCAGGGAGGCGGGGGGGGTGGGTGGGGAGGGTCCCCGCCGCCCGCCCGCTCCTTCCCGGGGGCGCTGCCGGAACGACACCGTTCACCGCCTGCCGTGGCTGGGGGAGCATAGTTATCCTGGCGCTGGAGTGAGCGTAGGTTAAACCGCCTCCGAAGCACTGCTCAGTTAGATGAACCTGGGGAGTCTAGCTCTGGCTGCTCGAGGTCCAGTAAAGCGAAGTTAATACGAGAGCCCTTCATGTCCCCTTCGTGGGGAAGAGGGCTGGAATTCTCTGTGTAGCTCTGACCGCTTCTTTAGGAACATACCGACGAGCGAGGTCCCGACGGCACTTTTTAGCCCCGCTAGACTGAGCTAGCGGCAAGGAAGGTCAACTTCTGCTCCCCCTTTCCCGTCCCAAACCAGCTATACCGGGGTGAGTCAAACCGCGGACAACTGGCCAAACTGCTTCGCTGCTGCCCTTGTCCAGTTCCCTTCCCCTTCTCTTTGAAACCCTCCACCTAAGTTTGTCCTGCCAGGGCTATCTCTCTGCAGTCCCGGGAGGGTCTTGCCTAGGCTGCCTCTGCTGATGTGTTCGTTTACCTGGTGCTGCTGCTTAGTAAAATGCTCGAGTTAAAAAGAAATGCTAAGGAGAAGAGCAAGGCAGATGAGATGCGTTTTGCCTGGTGGAAGCATTTTCATGAGAAAGGCACGGTCTTCACTCCGTGTTTGCAGAAATGCGGTTACACGGACGTCCCTTCAATAGCTTCTGACCCCACACAATCCGTTTGATAACACTCGAGAGGTGGAAGAATGGGAGACTTTGTCAATCAAATGGTGCCAATCCCAATGGAAACGGTGCCACCAAGACCGCAGCGCGTTTCCTCATCAACTGGATTGCGGGGGCTGGGAGCTCAAGGATCAGCTTTTGAAAGTGCGCACAGGGCTCTCCAAAGACAACAATGTCTTTTTTTTTTATGCGAGCTGCTGTGCCTCCCTAGGGGGAATCGAATGTGCTCGACCAGCCAGAACTGCCGAAGGGCTCGGAGGGGAGAGTCCCACGCAACCGGCGGGCGAATACTTTCTCAACCAGAGAGACACTTTCTAGGCGTAACTTTTTGATACAAAGGCATGAGGTGTTCCATGCTCTCCGTGGGCCGATTCACGGGTGCGTTGCTGGCACCCCTGCCCTACTCTTCCCAGCCCTGCAGCCCAGCTCCCGCGGCCGAGGGGGCGGCCCTGCCGCAGCCCTGCAGCCTGCCCCGCTGTGAGAGAGGGGGTCGGCGGGCTCTGCCGTGTGGCCAGCAGCTCCTAGAGAAGTCTGAGTTAAAGGGACAAAATCAGAGCTGGGACAGAACTCTTTCCTCCTGGTCATCAGCACAACTCTAATATTCAAATAGTTTAAATTGTCCTCCCAAAGATCCGCACCTGGAAAAGGGGCACCACCGCGCAGCTTGCTGCAATTCTTCACTCTCGGCCCACCCCTTAGCCAGCTCATAGAAACTTCATCACTGATTTCTTTTGTATGTCGGCGTTACACACTTCCTGTCACCTTAGCCCCCCTCCCCAAATGGAAGATGTGCCCAGCATACCGCTCCCTGAGCCCACGCAGAAAGGGAAGGAAGGAAGGAAGGAGAGGAGGTTTCCCTAGTGAGCGAGCAGTGTGGCCGGATGCCGCCGCCACTGGCGGCCGCGGACAGGGTGCTGGGAGCTGCTCCCTGCCTGGACAGCACATGCTGGGGTGTGTAGGGCAGGAGCTCTGCCCAGACACGCTTCCTGAAAGCGCTCCCTTGGATTTCTTGCTGTGGCTCATGGGGACAATTCTGTGGGACACCCCCCCACCCCCCCTACCCCCCGCACTAGTTATCTCTTTCGAGTGGGAGAAACCCCTCAGTACATGGGTCGAAATCTCTGCCCCTTGCGTGCGAATCAAAGAAAACAAGCGAAGCCATCAAAAGCTAAAGCGCCAAGTCCTCACCCCTCTGCAGCGCACGCACAGTTGCTCCTCCAGCTGCTCAGGGCGTGGAGCATCTCGCATCTGGGGTTCCTCGGGGGCCCTTCCCCACCCGTGACCGGCGGCCCCGCTCGCGAGGTCCCGTGCGAGGGCAGCGCTGCCTCCTCGCAGCTCGTTTCCCTCCTTCCCCAATTCCTGGCGGACGACTGAGCCCTCCTGACCTAATCCTCAGACATCCCCCCCTCCCCCGCTTTTCCTTCGCCGGCCCGTTCCTGGCCAAGAGGACCAGGGTGGGGCCAGGTGCGGGGTGCCAGGGAAGGGCTACCGCCGCCGCCGTGCCAGGCGGGGGGGCCCGGGCACGCCTCGGCCCGGAGGCCGCACCGCGCCCTCCGAGGCTGCCCCGCCTGAGAACCGGGTAAGCGCTGGGTGCAGGCTCGGGAGCCCCAGGACCCGGGGGTGGGTAGCAGCAGTGCTCCCGCCGATGTGCCTTGAAGTGTCGCCTGACCCCCATCCTGGTATTGTTAATATCAGCAATTGGTATGTTCTCTACATCTGGCTTCCTTTCCTTAGTGTTAGCAGACTGCCACCTTCACACTATTACTACAAATACAAGACTCAGCTTGCCCCGAAGCGTCTTTGATACACCCGAGCCAAGGGTGATTTCTGCTGGAAGATGGTTGTTGAGACAATTTGCCAAAAGTTTTATAAAGATAGTGAAAAGTTTTACATAGATATAAATACATACATAAATACTTTTTATCAGTAGATACACAGTCCTGCCGGGATCCATCTGTTTATCTGATTTTAGCTCTAGCTGTCAGTATATTACATTAGACAGTTGAGTTATGTGCTTTTGTATGTACATCCAGAACGTCCCTGCACACATTCACACACGTGCGTAAGGCGCATACCTCCGGCAGCGGGTATGCATGAGTATATATTTACTCATACGTTCACAGCACTCACCCCTGTCGTCTCTATTTCAAAAAGCAACTTAGCTTTTAAGAGGGTCACCTCGCCGTCCTCCCTTCCTTACCCTCACCCTCCCGCGGCTCCGCCGGGGCCCAGGGCGGTTCCTGCGCTGGCAGTTGTTTCGCCAGGCCCGCGGCCACGCCGGCGCCGGGCTAAGGGGCTCTCGGCTCCGGGATCCCAGTTGGGGCTGGACGCGGAGGGGACGGACACGTGTGTGGTGTGCCTGTGGATGCAGGGCGGCGGTTTGATTTACCGCGGCCCTTTTCGGCAGCAGGCTTCAGCGTGGCTGGCAGCAGCTGGCGGGGAGAGCGCACGTTGCTCAATGCCCCCTGCTTTGGTCTGGAAGACACCCCCCTTGCTCCCGGCCTGCCCCGCCGAGGGGCCGGGGGAGCTGCAGCCTGCCCTGGGCGTGCTGCAGGGCAAGGGCTCCGCAGCCTTCCGCGCCCTCGGGGCTCTGCGGCCGACGCACGGCCTCCGTCCGGGCCCGCGGGTCCCGAGAAGCTGGCGGCCAGGCGTCGGAGCGCTCCCCTGCGCCCGCCGGGAGTACGTGCGCTGGCGGGAAGGCGACCTTTCCCCCTCGACCTTTCCCTGGGGGTAACCAAAGCTCCCTTTTATTTTCAATTTCACTTCGGAGTTTGCCTTTTGTTCCCCGCTACCTCTCGCTTCCAGGGATACGCGCGGCTCCCCGCTGGCTCGGGGAGGGGCGAGTGGTTGCAAAGATACCTCATTTAAAAACGACAATGGGGCCCTTTCGACCAGCACGGGTGGTACCCGAGCTTTATTTTCGGGCTGGGGGGAAGGGAATTGTTTGCTTTGCTTTTATTTTCACAGCAAAACTCGAGGGAAGTTACCGGAGGGTTGCGAGGAGTTACGGTCCTTCCTTGTTGCCTCATTGCTCCAGAGTACTGGGCCGAGCCACCCCGCCGAAGGCCAGCACACCCGCCGGCATCCCCACGGCAGCCTGGGAACCCGCGCAAAGTGAGCGGATCTGTCCGCAGCCGCCCTGATGTAACTGACTTTGGAGTGACCGAGTGCTCCAGTCGTTGTCCCTAAATCCTTCTCTGCATCCCCTCTTCTCTCCACTCTCTGCCTTGGTCTGAGTTCCCCAGGGGGCTTTAATTCGGAAGGAAGCTGCCAGCTGCCCCGTTGTGCCTTTGGCTTTGTTTTCTTTTCCCTTTGGCAAGGGGAACCACTGTACGTGGGGGAGCTGCTTTTGAGCTCCCGCGGCTCCGACCGCCCGCCTTGCACGCGGAGGGACGCTCGGATGCCGGACCCTGCAGGCCCTGGTACGGAGGCGACCGACCCGCAGCAGCCTCCGCTGGCCGCCGAGGGAAGTGCAGCGCAGGGCCCAGGGAGCGGCGGCGGGTGGGCTCCCCTGGTCCAGCTGGCCTGCTGCGGCTGCTGTTGAAGTCTTCCCTAACCAGGACGAAAACGAATACACGAGGAAACGGAATGGGATCTTGCTTAGTCATCATCGTAGGAGACAGATGTAATTGCGTGGATATTCGTCCCTCCTCACAGTGCATTGCTCCAGATCTAGAGGGAAGGGTTGGCTTCTTCTAATGTTACTGCAGCTCCACATCAACACCCTCCATTAGACGTATCTGAGTGGGATTCTTTCCCTTCTCTGGGAAAGTATCTGCAATTCACCTGTTACTGGATCAAGAGAAGCTGTTTAATAATTTGTGCCCATTCCAAGTGTTTGCTTTTGAGCACCACAGTCAAACAGTTTCAAATTGTACTCTTGACAGATCATGGTCACGTACAAAGAAATTCTTGCTCAAAAACTGCCTGTTGGGACTGACTCTGCCTTTTCCCAACCAGCTTCCCACCCTTGAGCCTGTACATCCCATAAGGGCTGAGCTTAGTGTCCAGTCTGCAGGAGCAGCCTGATTGCCGATGTTCTTTTCTGAGTGTGGGGGGTGAATCTGCTGTGCCACTGGGGGCTGAAGTACTCAGATGTAATGCTGAGACAAGTAAGTGAGATGGCCTGGTAGGGCCAGACTGGCCCAACTGGTCACAATTAGTGGCAGGTGGATTTGTTTGTTTCTCATGTGAGCTTTAAAATCAACATTTCCCCTTGAGTCTTGAAATGAAAAAAAAAACCTCAATTCACTCTGCCTTGATTTTCTTCTGTTCCTTCCACGGGAGGGAGGACACAGGTTTCCTAGGCAAAAAGGACCATTTTAGAAGCCCAAAAGCAATTCTAGGGATGTTTCAGAAGTCCCCTTTTCAGTGCATGGGAACCAGAGTCTCTGGGAAGATCATGCCCTCAGTCTGGCTAGTACAACTGGTAGGTCTAGTTAAAAGCTGATGTAAAAAGCTGCAGCACAAAGGAAGCCATTTGTAGGGAAACTCAACAATGAACTTTATTGGTCCTGCTACCAAACCCATTAAAAAAGCTATACACTCTGCAGCATTGTTTCCAGGTCTGGGTTTTGTTAACCAGCCACTGACATATATATGGCCCAGGATGCTGATATAGCAGGTGCATTCCTCTTGCCAGGAAAGGGTTCATTTCAGTTGCCAGTTTAATCTAGTTCAGTTTCTAGGTACCATCCTTCAAGAGTTTCCTACTGTAAATAGGGTCTCTAAAATTCATTGTACAGTGGGCTGTATGCGTGACATACACGTCAGGGATGCTCTGCCATGAGACCTGTGTGCCACAGAAGGAATCTGACTATCCTGACAATAGCTCACATCACCTTTAAGGCAATGGAGAGACATCCTGGAGGCCAGATCAGGCTCCATCAGTTGGACTACTCTGCAATGCTGTATCTTTGAAAGAGTGCTGCAAAGCCTGTGTATGTGGCTCACTCACTCCAACACCAATGGCACCCGTATTGCCCTACATAGCTATGGAAGCAGAGCCTTTCTATTTTATGCAAGAAATGGAGACGATGGTTAGTGTATTGCAGCCATCTGCAATACTGAATTACTACTGGGAGCAATAGGTACAATGGGTGTTTTTTGTTTAGTTTGGTTTTCACTCTTTGACATTCACTCTGCCAAATACGTTTGTTAATAGGAGCTGCACAGTGCATAGGATTGATCTGCCGGGATATTTCTCTTGCCAAGGATGGTGAAGGTGAAGCAAAAGATTCATCAAAGTATTTCACCTTTTCCTACTCCTAAGAAGAATGGGTAGCTTGGAAAAGAAAGGACCCAGTTGGAAAGGGACTTTTTACCCACTCCTGCAGTTATGTGAAGAATAGAACTGCTCCTAAATGAGCTTCTTTTATTGTAATCAACTTATACCCTTATCTTCATCTGTTTCCCCCAGCAGCAACCTTTCTTCCCTTTGGACATTTTATTGATACATTGGTTAGGATTCTTTGGCTCTCCTATTACTAGGAGAGCCAAAGCATGGTTCCGCTTGCAACTGAGTGCTGACCAAAAGGTTTTACAAGTATGACAAAAGATGAGCTCAGCCTTGCAAAGTTCAGCTTGAGGTTCAACTGGGTTGACCGAGACTTGGAAAACAAAAACAAAGTGTATTTGTACTGTAAACTAAAAAATGCACCCAAGAAGTTTCTAAAGGTCCAGAATTATTTTATCTTTGCATTAGAACAGCACTTTCTATTCAAATAAAAATCCTAAAACATATGCTAAAACAAGTCCTTGCTAGCAGCTCAATATTATGTTTTCCCAGACATCAGTCATTATTAGCATTCTAGTGCATAAGAGTCTCCATGTAACAAGGACTATCTTCTAAATGACTTTGGATGATAGACATAATGAAGTTAAAAATTTCACTCATCTTTGCCCTGTCATAAATGAAAGCACATATTATACTCATTCAAAAAATAGCTAACCATAGAGTTAGGTTCAAGTTACATTTTCAATGTAGAAATGTTTATGC